CGGAGCCGAAGTTGATATACCCTTGCAGTTAAAACCGGATATATATTGCAAACCGATTCTTATGATTAAATCATAATAAAACCAATAAACTACAATAAAAAATCTAAAAAACAAGAAAGGAAAGCTAACTTCGGGCGGAGCCGAAGTTTATATACCCTTGCAGTTTAAACCGGATATATGTCGCAAACATCGGATATAGTTGGCCGATCCTTTGGGAATATGAATATATAATCTAATTTATTACAATACAAAATCTAAAACAAGAAAGGAAAGCTAACTTCGGGCGGAGCCGAAGTTTATATACCCTTGCAGTTAAAACCGGATATATATCGCAAACATCGGATATAGTTGGCCGATCCTTATGGGAATAGGAATATATAATCTAATTTATTACAATACAAAATCTAAAACAAGAAAGGAAAGCTAACTTCGGGCGGAGCCGAAGTTTATATACCCTTTGGTAGGTTGGATCAACTGACCAAGAATTAAATCTGTACTAAGTTCCAGCTTTCTATCTTCAAAAACACGAAAGTTGGGTCATTTCCGCTCGTTCAGTTATATGGCAGCTAAAGGATATAGTCGGCCGATCCTAATGAAATTTGGCATGTCGTATTATTTTGCCAAAAATAGCGCTCGTGTAAAATTTTAACTCTCTAACTCTAAAAACACCGAAGTTATACCATTTCCGATCAATCAGTTATATGGCAGCTATAGGATATAGTCGGCCGATCAGGGCCGTTCCGACTTATATACTGCGTGCAAAGGAAAGAAGGGTGTGTGCAAAGTTTCAGGAAGGGTGTGTGCGCTAGCTTTAAAACTGAGAGACTAGTTCGCGTAGTAACAGACAGACAGACGGACAGACGGACAGACGGACATGCTCATATCAACTCAGGAGGTGATCCTGATCAAGAATATATATACTTTATAGGGTCGGAGATGTCTCCTTCACTGCGTTGCACACTTTTGACCAAAATTATAATACCCTCTGCAAGGGTATAAAAAGTTTTAAACTTCTATCTTCAAAAGTAACAAAGTTGGTATTTCTACCAAAAACCATTTCCGATCATTCAGTTCTATGGCAGCTATAGGATATAGTCGGCCGATTCTAATGAAATTTGGCATGTCGTAATGTTTTGCCAAAGATAGCTCTCGTGTCAAATTTGAACTCTCTAACTCTAAAAACACCAAAGTTATACCATTTCCGATCAATCAGTTATATGGCAGCTATACGATATAGTCGGCCGATCCCGGCCGTTCCGACTTATATACTGCGTGCAAAGGAAAGAAGGTTGTGTGCAAAGTTTCAAGTCGATAGCTTTAAAACTGAGAGACTAGTTTGCGTAGAAACAGACAGACGGACAGACGGACATGCTCATATCAACTCAGGAGGTGATCCTGATCAAGAATATATATACTTTATAGGGTCGGAGATGTCTCCTTCACTGCGTTGCACACTTTTGACCAAAATTATAATACCCTCTGCAAGAGTATAAATATATGCCATAAGTAAGTTCGGGCGTTCCCGGCTGTTCCGACTTACATACAGCTGCGAAAAAAATACAAGAAAGGGAAATAACTTTGGGTGGAGCCGATGTTTATATACCCTTGCAGTTAAAACCGGATATATATCGCAAACATCGGATATAGTTGGCCGATCCTTAGGGGAATAGGAATATATAATCTAATTTATTACAATACAAAATCTAAAACAAGAAAGGAAAGCTAACTTCGGGCGGAGCCGAAGTTTATATACCCTTGCAGTTAAAACCGGATATATATCGCAAACATCGGATATAGTTGGCCGATCCTTATGGGAATAGGAATATATATGCCAATTTATTACAATACAAAATCTAAAAAAAGTCCCAAACTTCTATCTTCAAAAATACGAAAGTTGATATTTCTACCAAATACCATTTCCGATCGTTCAGTTATATGGCAGCTATGGGATATAGTCGGCCGATCCTAATGAAATTTGGTAGGTTGGTTCAACTGACCAAGAATTAAATCTGTACTAAGTTCCAGCTTTCTATCTTCAAAAACACGAAAGTTGGGTCATTTCCGATCGTTCAGTTATATGACAGCTATAGGATATAGTCGGCCGATCCTTACGAAATTTGGCATGTCGTATTATTTTGCCAAAAATAGCGCTCGTGTAAAATTTTAACTCTCTAACTCTAAAAACACCGAAGTTATACCATTTCCGATCAATCAGTTATATGGCAGCTATAGGATATAGTCGGCCGATCAGGGCCGTTCCGACTTATATACTGCGTGCAAAGGAAAGAAGGGTGTGTGCAAAGTTTCAAGTCGCTAGCTTTAAAACTGAGAGACTAGTTCGCGTAGAAACAGACAGACAGACGGACAGACGGACAGACGGACATGCTCATATCAACTCAGGAGGTGATCCTGATCAAGAATATATATACTTTATAGGGTCGGAGATGTCTCCTTCACTGCGTTGCACACTTTTGACCAAAATTATAATACCCTCTGCAAGGGTATAAAAAGTTTTAAACTTCTATCTTCAAAAGTAACAAAGTTGGTATTTCTACCAAAAACCATTTCCGATCATTCAGTTCTATGGCAGCTATAGGATATAGTCGGCCGATTCTAATGAAATTTGGCACGTCGTGATAATTTGCCAAAAATAGCTCTCATATCAAATTTGAACTCTCTAACTCTAAAAACACCAAAGTTATACCATTTCCGATCAATCAGTTATATGGCAGCTATAAGATATAGTCGGCCGATCCGGGCCGTTCCGACTTATATACTGCGTGCAAAGGAAAGAAGGGTGTGTGCAAAGTTTCAAGACGATAGCTTCAAAACTGAGAGACTAGTTCGCGTAGAAACGGACAGACAGACGGACAGACGGACATGCTCATATCAACTCAAGAGGTGATCCTGATCAAGAATATATATACTTTATAGGGTCGGAGATGTCTCCTTCACTGCGTTGCACACTTTTGACCAAAATTATAATACCCTCTGCAAGAGTATAAATATATGCCATAAGTAAGTTCGGGCGTTCCCGGCTGTTCCGACTTACATACAGCTGCGAAAAAAATACAAGAAAGGGAAATAACTTTGGGTGGAGCCGATGTTTATATACCCTTGCAGTTAAAAGCGGATATATGGTTTATCGAAAAAATCGGATATAGTTGACCGATCCTTATAAGAATATCATAATATAACCAGTTTATTCCAATTCAAAACAAACAAGAAAGGAAAGCTAACTTCGGGCGGAGCCGAAGTTTATATACCCTTGCAGTTAAAACCGGATATATATCGCAAACATCGGATATAGTTGGCCGATCCTTATGGGAATAGGAATATATATGCCAATTTATTACAATACAAAATCTAAAAAAAAGTCCCAAGCTTCTATCTTCAAAAATACGAAAGTTGATATTTCTACCAAAAACCATTTCCGATCGTACAGTTATATGTCAGCTATAAGATATAGTCAACCGATCTTTATGAAATTTGGTAGATCGGATTAACTGACCAAAAATAGAATGTGTACCAAGTGCCAGCTTTCTATCATCAAAAACACGAAAGTTGGGTCATTTCCGATCGTTCAGTTATATGGCAGCTATAGGATATAGTCGGCCGATCCTAATGAAATTTTGTAGGTCGGATTAACTGACCAAAAATATAATCTGTACCAAGTTCCAGCTTTCTATCTTCAAAAACACGAAAGTTGGGTCATTTCCGATCGTTCAGTTATATGGCAGCTATAAGATATAGTCTGCCGATCCTTATGAAATTTGGCATGTCGTAATATTTTGCCAAAAATAGCTCTCATGTCAAATTTGAACTCTCTAACTCTAAAAACACCAAAGTTATACCATTTCCGATTAATCAGTTATATGGCAGCTATAAGATATAGTCGGCCGATCCCGGTCGTTCCGACTTATATACTGCGTACAAAGGAAAGAAGGGTGTGTGCAAAGTTTCAAGTCGATAGCTTTAAAACCGAGAGACAGAATCCACTGGCGTTTGGAGGCACTTTTAAGAAATTCCTCACCACGCTCTTGTGACCTCACGCGTCACATTCACGATTCACGTCAGATTTAATAATAATGTCAGATCGGCACTCGTATTTTATTCATTTCTTTTTCTAAAAAAGCCGCTGAAACACGCCAGAAGCAAAATAATTAATGCCTATTATTCGCTGAATTTTTAAAAAATTTAAATTGACCTGCGTAGTATTTTGATTAAAAATTTTTTTTTCTTATCAGTAAAACAGGGCCGGATTAAAAATGTAGCAGGAGTTTGGTCCGCCCAAAAGCGGTCAGATCAATATATAAAATATATTATTTAAGATGGAGGTATTATATTTTGGCTTCCATTCCATTCGTAAACATAAAATTCGAATTCGTCACAAAGCTTGGATCACAGGAACTGGCCCCGAGTTGGCTTAATGCGGTACTGAAGTCTGATTCTTTAACTTCTGTTTCGAGTCGGTGCTTTAAGCGAAAAAACGATTAGAGATAGACATCAGACGTGAACTGAGTTTTCTGGAAAATGTTGGGTTGGCAGTTTTTTATTCTGACGATCTGCCTAATTTTTGGCTTAGCAAGCATTGGCCCTGTAGATTCCAAACGTTGCAAGACTCATGACAACAAAATCGGTAAATGCCTACGTCCGCGAGACTGCCCTGCTCTTAAGCCGGTTGTAGATAAGATCAATAAGGGAATAATTCTTACCGACCAGGAAAAGGTATTAAAAAAGTCAGTGGTACCTTGCTATGCGGTAAGTAATGTGGAGACAATCACTAAAACATTTAAATATACATACTTAAACTGCCATAGCACAAAGTTTTTTGCTGCGAAGAAAAATTGAATTCTACAGGATTAGAATTGCTTGAGAAAAACAATCACATATGCGGTACCTTCAATGACATTAAGGTTTTTGGCGGCAGAATCACAAAGGCTCAGCCATGGCTAGCTTTATTACAGTTCAACAAAACTACCGAACTTAATAATACGAGAGTTTCTAATTGCGCCGGTACTCTTATTTCTTCAGGTGAGTCTATATAATATTTTATTGAAGAAAAAAGTCACCTTTTTCTTAAACAGACTTCATTTTGACGGCTGCACATTGCATAAGCGAAGAATTGTAAGTACATAACTTATCAGTCAAGAGTTATAGCCGTACTGTACTGAAAACAGAGCTAAATTGAAGATATCGTTTCATCTAGGATATCCGTCCGCTTCGGAGAGTATAATATTACTAGTGCTGAAGACTGTGTGTTATATGGCGGGAAACGAGAGTGTTTACCACCCCCGGTGGATATTCTGGTCGGTGAGACGATCGTCCATCCGAATTACTCTGAGGTCAATTATCAAAATGACATAGCATTGATACGACTCAAAGACCCGGTCCAGTTCAACGACTTTATACTACCCATATGCCTGCCGCTGTATCCAGACGTCCAAGTGGAGAGTGAAGAAAAGTCACTGTTGGAGGTAGTCGGCTGGGGGTTAACGGAGAATGGAAAGCTCTCTGAGGTCCCCATAAAATCATTCCTCATTCGGCTGCCGTCGACCAAGTGCAAGAAACATAATATGAGTTTATCAGACACCCAGATATGCGTCAGCGCCAATGAAGACGATAGTTGTCAGGGCGACTCTGGAGGACCACTGGCCTATCCTGGTACGTTCAACGGAAAACAGCGCTATGTGCAGGCCGGAATCGTGAGCTACGGATCTGCTTCATGCGGCAGTTTCCCGGTGGCGGTCTATACTTATGTGTCTGAATATGTGTCTTGGATAACCAGCAAAATAGCGGTATAAGAATATTATAGTTTTAAAACATTTGATTTTAATATTAAAGCACAAATAAAGATTACACTGGTAAAAATATGTTTCCAAAATTAAATTCTAAATTACCAATTTAGATGGAAATAATACCAATTTACAGATCTACACAAGAATATTTTAAATTAAATACTAAGAAACTTGCTTCCTTAAGTAAAAGACTATTATTTTCTTATTTTGGGTTAGTGGGAAGAATGAAATTACAAGAAAAATTATAGTTAGCTAACAAACAAACAGTTTAATTAAGCCCATTTCATCGCTATATCCAAAAGTTGGGCTCAAAGAATGTCAGACACCTTGTTATCAGTGATTCTTATCAAAAATAAGCAACGCAGTAAAGAAGACAACTCTGACCCCAAGTAATATATATTCTCGATCGGGATCACCCCCTGTGGCGATAGTAGCATGTCCATCTGTATGTTTCTACGCTAACTAGTCTCAACTCTAAAGTTCTCGATCCGGATTACTCTTTCCTTTTCTCGCAGTATGTAATTAAGAACGACTGGGATCGGCCATCTATACCCTATTGCTGCCATAGAGTACCCAATTTCCTATTTCTGCAATCCATCACGCTAAGTTAGAGTTAAGACAAGAAAAATTTCTCTGGATTATTTTTTTGGCCAACTTCAGTCCGATTAGCTTAACTTTCTTCTTTAATTATTCATAATTTTTACCTCCAATAATATCCTAATGTTAAGCTTTATATAGAATTTTTCAATGCAGTATGTACTGTCTTTAAATGTGGGGCTGACGCATAAATGGTACTTATATAAGCCAGGATCATAACAATTTTCCTTAGTCATCTCCTCAACAAATAATAACTTCAAAGCATTATTATAACCTAGTTTAGGTTATAGGTTAGTTTATAGCCCTAATATTTAGGGAAACACTTTTAAAAGAACCATCGGCTTTGAATTTAGGCACCCTCGCCCTGTTGACCGTCTCTCTCTGGCCTTGAATCGCATCTCTTTCGCACCAACGCCCAGACGTCACCCGGAGGTCGTCCCGGGTGTCCCGGGCATATTGCAGTTAGCAGGGCCACGCTAGAGGGCGTAGATTTGGGCCCGGCCTGCGGTTATGTTAATGAGCTTGCACACAATTAGCAGCTGCTGCTGATTCTGACGCCGCCACTGCAGCAAAGGTCGAGGGGCGGGATCCCTAGGAGGACACTCCAACCATTTCCATGTAGTGGCATTTGCGCTTGTCACTTCAATTATAGTAAATATTTAATGCAATAGCGGGACGCTGGAGGAGGTGGAAAAGGAGCTGGGAGCAGCGAGTGGAGGCCACAGGGCGTGACTATATTATAATCAACGCACAATCAGTTGAGCATTCTAATAAATAAATAAATAATCCTGGCCCTTGCTTTAATTACACAACGAAAAATTAAATTGAAAATAAAATGCCGCAGATTGTGTTGCGGATAGGGCTGGGAGTGGTCGAGGGATAAAGGATACCAAAGGACGTTTTAGGGCTATTGACGTGCACCGGTTCGCATATGTTTTAAGAACCAAAAGTTCAATTAACTTTGATGGGGGAATTAGTAACGGATTGCAAAGCAACGATTGTGCTTTTCCAAGTGTTTAATCAATATTAAATTAATTTACATTGCAATGTTAATGACCAAATTGTGGTTGGGTAATTATTACATTGTTTTATAACTTGCAAATACGATATTCCTGAGAATTGCTGCAATGTTTACAGAATATTTGAGTGGTCAAGGGTCATTGTCGGAGTTAAGTCACACATTGTGCATTCCAGGGCATTAGAATGTCGGGCATTGTTTCCCATTTTCCAGATTTTTTTATCCGTGCGATACTCCAATGAAATGCATTTGCAATTTTCATTTGAATATTTCAAACACGAATCTAAAAACCGCCAGCCAGCCCTCCAGCCAACCAGCCCATCAGCCAACCAGCCAACCAGCCAGCAATCCAAGTTGCTACTCAGTGAGCCATGGTCTGGCATCATTTGAGCTATCGAACTGAAAAATGTCCTTTTAAATTACAAAATTGCAAATTAAACTGCAAAAGCCGGGGCGGGAGAAAGTCCCAACAATCAGTTCTCAGTCTTTGTCTGCACCGAAGCACATTCCGTTGCTCCGGTTCTCGGTCCTCGGTTCTCGGTCACATAATTCAATTCCAGACGAAATACATGCAATTTCTTTTGCCAGAAGAGAGCAGGGCAATACATAAGTAAAACATAATTGAATTCAAATTTGTGCAATCGTAAGTAACTAAGATACAATTATGTACGTGGCTGGTCTGCTTCATTCTGTATGTCGCTCGGTCTCTCTGACTTTCTCCGCCCCAATCCCCTTGCCAGACGACTGTCAAGTCTCGTCATGACTACATTTTGACACACAATTGAAAGACGCCGAGGACACACGCACATGCAACACTAACACTAACCCGCATAGGACGCAGGACGCAGGACTCGGGAGTCGGGGCTCAGGCAGACAATGAAACGTAATCACACTAATGGCTCCAGGAGCAATGAAGCGCACGTAATTGGTAAAGAGCTCTCCAGGATGCGACTTAGGAGTGTTGAACATCGCTGACTGCAGTGTTGTGTAGTGACAAGCCAGTGTTGCGCAGCGATAGATCACTAGATTCCCAAAGACAAGCAGAGTTCCTAATATGAAACAAAATGAATTTCTTATTCAATAATTACTATAAAGTCCTTTCCGTTTCATAAATGCACCAGATCTCTTGACTTCAAATCCCAGTCCCCTTTTCCCAGGCCTTCATTTTCCAGTTTATAAATTAGCAGTTTTCTTATGACTGTCAATCAAAAAATAAGCTTAAAGGTTATGTTATGTGGCACCAATTGCACTACATGCCTTTATTCGATAATTGCAATCTCCAATCAGCGATATTTCCTTGCAATTCACCCACCTACAGCTCTCCTGCCGAACCTATTATGTAGAACAAGCTTTTGTGTCGCTATGTTGGTTAGCTTGGTGGCTGGCGGTTCTAAAGAGTTTTCGGGGTCCCGCTGGGCTGGCAATGCATTGCATTTTCGTATAGCACAGTTTTTAGGGCGTAAGCAAAAGTCGTTGACGTTCGTTACCAATACCGCACTCGCATACTCAGCGGGACACTGAGAAAAAAGTACTACACGATAAATAAAAATAATATAGTTAAATGAAAAATTGTCTTAAGTCGGATGGAAAATTAGGTAATTTAAGGTAAGGCTTGAAGACTGAAAGTATGTGAATACGATTTGTATCCTAATGCAGTGTTTATTTCTTCCTGTCACCACCACATAGACAGGCTCACATACACCGCTGCAGTCGTACAAATGATGACATGTTATGTGATGGGAAGAAACCTGCGCGCCAAAGAAATGCAATTACATGTTACCGTTGCTTTCTCCGTGCGTGTGGGTGTGTGTGTTAATGCACACACGGCCGTGTGTGAGTGTGTGCTTTATTAATGAGTTGAGTTTCAGTTTGAGTTTGAGTTGGGGCTGGGATTCCCCTCCGGGTGCCCCTGTGTGTCCTCGGAAGTTATGTCCCGAGCAAAGTTGCAACTTTGGCAACGGCATATTGAAAAATGATGCAAGTATCTCCATTCTTCTACCGCCTCCTCTTCCTCCACCTCTTCCATTTTAATGCGAAAATGAGCGACTGTCACTGGGATAGATGGATAGATGGATGCGGGAGAACTTTGAATTTGGGCAAGTAATGTGGGGGCAGGGCGAGTAATGAAAACTTTTTGCTCCTGCTGCTGAATCCCGAGGAATGTCGTGTGTGGTAAATTAAAAATCAATAACTCATTTGCCAAACGTCGTCGGGCGAAGTAACACAAAAGTTGTCACAACCAACAACGGCGATGATCATCAGCCCCCGGATAACCGTCCTGATGAAGATATGGCTTAAGGTGTACGCTTTTGTAATTTGCGTCGCTGCAGAAAGAGTTACGAACAATATTAAAAGGGTTGGGGCCACTGCATTTTGGCTTGGCAAGGGGCTGGAATTATGGGCTAATAGGCATCAAGGAAAGTTTTTCCAGATTTTGCAGAGACCCCATCACTAAAACTTTCGTAATGAGACTTTCGGTTATTAAAATGCGATTTTATGAACGAGTGAAATTGGATTTTAGGACGAGTTTACAATTTGATTATCTCATGTTCTGATTCTAGCACAAAGTGGATCCTGCGTTCTAGTATCACAGATGACAGTTTACTTTTGCCCCAGTTGGTTCCTTTTGACGACAAATCGTTCGAATGCCCATCTAATCCATATAATTGATGCTGTTAGCAGTTAACCTACGTTCTAAATACGCCAGAAGCTCTCCGCATTCAATCCAATTTCCTTTCCCAAAACTGCCCTCCCCAAGGACCTGTTCCATATCAGTTTAGAACTCGCACAGATAGGCCAGCAGAGGGAAGGCGGCGGAGTATCAGAGCCCGATCCGATAGTTTCACTCACTTTAGCAGTGAAGTGGGCCGAAAAACCACACAACTGACAAATAATGCTAATGAGCGTACAAAAACTGCCATTTGCTAACCAATGAACTTCCGTCAATTGTCGGCGGGAGGGCCAACGGGAGGGCGGAAATCGGATGCAATGGCTGCAGAAACGGCGGCACTTTGCCAAGAGCCTCCGTCCAGACAGGCAGCCGAAATTTCGCTACAATAATAGTTAGTAGGGCAACCGCAGGGCCCCAGTCCCGCATCCCGCATCCGGCAGGGCGAAGCCTGAAGGACACGGCTGCAAGTAGCCGGGCGTTGATTGGACCTTCTGCCGCTCTCATCCACGTCGGTGTCTTCTGCTAACTGCGCCTGCCCGACTGCCGGCGGCCATTTATGTCAGTTTGTCACGATAGGCGATGGAAGCGCAGAGATTACCTTGGTTCAAGTTAACAACGGATCCCAGCCACGCCAGACACCAGGATCCACACCCCAGCCTTTAAACTCTAGTGCCGCCCAGGCCACAGCCGAGTGCAGGACCAACCTCGTCCTCGTCCTCG